CCCGGCGCGGGCCGCGGGCAGGAGGGAGAGCTCGGGCGCCTGCCAGGCCCTGCAGGTGGCCGGGTTGCAGGCCGCCCGCGGCCGCCGCGCGGAACGGTAACCTTACCCCTTGGCGACGGCAGCTGGCCGGTTTCTCGAGGCCCGGGTTCCCCGTGGCCGAAGGGGCCGGGGTTGGGGCAGCCAAAGCCTCTGGGAGCCGCGTCTCGGTCCGGGGTCTGTGAGGAGTGGCGGGTCGGTGGGGGCTGTGTGGCCGGACCGAGGAAGGGGCTGCCCGACGCGGGAGAGGCCGGCGGGGAAGGCAGGTGGGCCGGGCTGCAGCTGGGGTCGGTCGTGTGTTGGGTGAAATAGATCTTACTCCTGGTGCTTTCCTCTTCCCTCCCTGAAAGGATGTAGTTAAAAGCTAGGGTCAGGATGTTGATCACTGCCTGGCCTCCTCGTTTCATATGGTTATGGAGAATGATCCTACTTCCTGGATCCCAAATCTTTTCTTACTCAGTTGTTTTTGGTTTTAAGAGGATCTTTGGGGGGCAATGCTTACTTGTTGCCTCCTGTAAGAGCTCTTCATTTTAGAAGAACTCTTTATTCGTTCTACTTCCCTCTTTGCATCCCTCTCGGAAAACCACACTAAATAAGAGTTAAATTAAAAACCTGCGTTTAAGGTATTTGTAAATGACTTGTTGGCCCTCAGTTTGTCGTGTGTAATTAAGAAGTTGTGCTTAAGATTTTGTAGAAAATTCGATTGGCTTGAGAGCAGTTCCAAAGTTGAGCTGTCCAAAAGCAGGTGGCTTGTTCGTTTGCATTTCTGCTTTCAGAAAGGAAATCAGTGCAGGGAGTTGTTAGAAGTTGGGGGCCTACCCCATGCGTTTAGACTGTTGATTCGATTTCCTTTACCGGGTGTTAAGTTTTGTTTTAAAAATAAGAAGCGACCACAGTCTTTACTTATTAAAGCTTTTATGGTTTTGTTACTGTTAGATGACAATGGAAAATGGGTTAAATGTATTGTGTAATGTTATATTTTAGGAGAAGCCCTAAATGGAAAAGTTAAAAATAATGTTGTGCATCTCATTACATTGTACAGATCACTGCATGAAAATGGTATCGAAATAGTTAATATCTTGTAATTATCAAAGATACTTCTGGAATTGGCATAAAATAATTGAGGTTACCCACAAAATCAGTGTTAGCATGCGTAGCAGACATTGTGTAGAAGAGCTCAGAAGCATGAGAGGACTAAACTATTCTAACATAAGGTACTGATAAAAGATGTTATAAAATATTGGGGTACGTAAAGATTGAATACCTGTTATCATCCAGATCATACTTAAGTATCCAAATCTGTTTCTGTGGGAATAGGTTCCGTATGCTTGCCGTAACATTTGTACTTAAATATACATTTAAAAAGAATCATACCATTTGGCTTGGCATTAATAAAGATTTGGCTTTATAAAAACTAAAATGGAAGTTTAGTTTTCAAGGACTAATACATCTGGTAACATTTACTGTTATTTGCGAATATACTAGGCTAGCATACTAAGAATTTTTGTAGTTTGTTAAAATATTCAACTAGCTTCTTAAAAAAGCATTGATCCTCTTCTGTGTTTTATTCTGTGTTAAATACTAGTGGGGAATTTGTCCAAGCAGTGTATTTATTTTGTCAGGACCCTTTTTCTTTTTGGGAGAGGCTCATATGTTTCTATAATAGGCTTTGACTTTATATCCATTAACTGATTAGGGTTCCAGTCAGAAAAAAGCCAGCCCTGTTTTCTGGTAAAGGTGATCTACATCCATATTATGTTCATATCCTGCAATGATTTAAAAGTTTAAAACTTAGGGCGCCAGGGTGGCTCAGATGGTTAAGCATCTGCCTTCGGCTCGGGTCATGATCCCAGGGTCCTGGGATCGAGTCCCGCATCAGGCTCCCTGCTCCGAAGGGGGCCTGCTTCTTTCTCTCCCTCTGCTGCTCCCCATGCTTGTGCTCTTTCACTCTGTCAAATAAATAAAATCTTAAAAAAAAAAAAGTTTAAAACTAATTGCAGTTCTGGTCAAAGGTATATATAGGAATTCTACTTAGCACCCAGTTTCAATATTTTTAAAAAGCAGTTGGGGCCCATAGACTCTTCATGAGCAGGTTTAACTCGTGTTGTCTGATAGAAGACTTTAATTTTTTAAATTTTATTTTAATTCCAGTGTAGTTTAACATGCAATGTTATATTAGTTTCAGGTGTACAATATAGCGATTCAACAGTTCTATACATACTCAGTGCTCATCATGATAAGTGTACAATCTCCACCCCCTATTTCACCCACCTACCCCCTGGGAATCATCAGTCCTCTATAGTTAAGAGTCTGTTTTTTGGTTTGAGAAGACTTTAATTTTAATGCAGAAGTAAAACTAACTTTTTCAGTAACTTAATTATTTTTAACCCATTTAGCTTCATTTCAGACTATCAGTAAAAAGTGGTACCTTTCAGGGGCGCCTGGGTGGCTCAGTCGTTAAGCGTCTGCCTTCGGCTCAGGTCATGGTCCCAGGGTCCTGGGATCGAGCCCCGCATCGGGCTCCCTGCTCAGCGGGAAGCCTGCTTCTCCCTCTCCTACTCCCCCTGCTTGTGTTCCCTCTCGCTATGTTTCTCTCTGTCAAATAAAATCTTTAAAAAAAAAAAAAAAAAGTGGTACCTTTCATTTTTGTAAAGGCATCTTTACCTTTTTTACAAGGTTTGTTCTCTCAACTGAAAACTAATTTAATTTTATTTGTTAATTTCTTCAGCAATCCTGCAAAGACCATTTTTTAAGGAAGATTTAGGATAGCACAGTAGTTTTATGGAACCTGAGTATTGAAGAGAACAGTTCCCATTGCTCTTAGGATCTCCAGAAGCTTTAGATGACAGCCCTTATTTCTCTTAAAGTTGTAAAAATCTTAATTCACAACAGTGAATACTGGAAAGGGAAAGTACCTTTGCAAAGTGATCAAGCAAATGCTTGGGGAAAGGCACTAAGCTTTTCTGGTATATTTTTGAAGATTATATATAGCAGAGTGCACAAATCTCAGGGGTACAGCTCGATGAATTTTTAAAAGTGAACACATCTGTATAAGCATTACCCAGATCAAGATATAGAACATATCACCACCCCATAAATCCTCCCTCATGCCCTTTTTTCCCCAGTCACTACCTCCTAGATTAGCTTTGCCTGTTTTAAACTTTATACAACCTATATTTTTTGTATCTGGCTTCTTTCCCTTAACACTGGATACAACCATCTTGTTACTTGTAACAATAGTTTCTTTTTGAATGCAGCATAGTATTCTGTTGTCTAAATATACCACAAGTTATGTATCCATTTTACTAGTAACTGGCATTTGGATTGTTTCAGTTTTGGTAACAGGTGCTCTGAACTTTCTTGTACTGTCTTTGGATGTATATGTACATTTGTATTTCTGTTAGATGTATACTGAGAGTGGAATTGTAGGTTGTAGAGTAGACAACTACCAGTTTCCCACAGTGGTTGTACTAACTTATTCTCTAGTAGCATTGTATGCAAGAACTTAAAAACCCACACATTTTGATAGACACCTCTATAAAACTTAAGTCTTCAACTCTGAGAGCGTTACCGTACTTAGGTTACTTTGTATTAATCACTCTAATGCCTCAACTTCTGTTCTTAGATATGGCTCGTGGACAGCAGAAGATTCAGTCTCAGCAGAAAAATGCCAAAAAGCAAGCTGGACAAAAGAAGAAACAAGGACATGACCAAAAGGCTGCTGCCAAAGCTGCCTTAATATATACCTGCACTGTTTGTAGGGTAAGGGGGATTGAAAGACATAGTTTTCCTGTGGACAGTTCTTTCCGTAGACATTGGTTTATATAGGTTACAATTTTGCAACTATGGCAAAATAGTAGATTGGCGAGCTGGTTCTTTTAGGTGTCCATCTTCACTTGTCTCTTCAACAAAAATTTTGTGAATGGCTTCTGTGGCCAGGCATAGTTCTCTAGGTGTCAGGGAAAGGGAGTGAACAAAGCAAAGTCCCTTTCCTCATTTAGAAAAAAGATGTCTTCTTCACGGCAGATACTGCACTTTGAACTTTGTAAGGAAATCAGATCTACATTCTTGGTTTACAGCTATGCAGGATACAAGTGAACATATCTCTGGTTATGAGTTGACTTTTTTCTTCACTAAATTTGTAGTGGGATGTCTGTAAAACTATATGGAGTATATTTACATTGAGGGCTTTTCCTAGAACTAATGTGTTTTGTTAGATTTGAAGAATAGCCGTTAACAACTGCTATTGAGTGCTCATCAGGTGTTTTACATGTATGAGCCCATTAATCCACACAACCACCCTGAGATAAAGGACTTTTGTTATTCCCATTTTACAGGAGAGTAAACTGAGTCATGGGGACTAAATAACTTGTGCAAGGTGCCCCAGCTAGTACAGAGAAGAGCTGGGATCTGAACCCCGGCAGTCAAGTTCCAGAGCCCACCTCTGCCTTTCATACCACACTGCCTTTCAAGGAAGTTTTTCTTGGGGCACCTGAGTGGCTCAGTCGGTTAAGCGTCTGCCTTCTGCTCAGTCATGATCTCGGGGTCTTGGAATTTAGCACTGTTTTGGGCTCCCTGCTCAGCGAGGGGTCTGCCTCTCCCTCTGCCCCCCACACCCCGCTCGTGCTCTCTCTTGCTCGCTTGCTCTCTCAATAAATAAAATAAAAAAAAAAAAAAGTTTTTCTTAAATTCCAAGCCAGAGTCTCTTTCTTGCTTTTTTGTTTAATCTCAGCACCCTTGAAGTTAGTGAGTAGAAGTCCCAAAGGAAAAAATACATAGCGAGGTTGGTCAAATACATATGCATATATATACCATATGTATAAATAATGTATTTTTTCCCAAAGCTCTACACCTGGGTAGGGTTGTAGGAAGGGATCTCAGTAAGACAAGTTCATCATGTGAAGGCATTACTGATGAAATAGAAGTTCCTGACTACATAAAAGTTCGTCATTAAGAGAGGAAATCTATTACATTAAATATCTGGTTCATACTGAGCTTTGATACACTCAAAATAATGAAATCAACTTTAGATTCTGTTTGGAAAGAAGCAGGGTAAAAGTAAATTTCATTAAATTACTGATGAAGAAATACTTTGACCTAAAAGTACTAGAGCGGTTGAACAAAACAGCAAAAACTTTTATTTCATGTTTTGTTTAATCGAATGGGCAAAAGAATAAATAATTGAAGGTCCTTGCCTAGGGAAGTTGGTATAATGTAGCATTTGAGAACTGAAATACTAGTACTAGGTTAAAACAGGTCTTGGGCAAATTACCCTCTAGGTTTTAGTTTCCTTATCCTGTGAAATGAGGAAGGATAGTAGGAACTAATTTAGGATTACTGTAGGAAGGTTCTATGAGAATTCAGGTAACCTGCTTAGCATAACATGTTAAGTAAATGTTACCTGTTTGGTGTTAATCAAACAAGCAGAATACTTCATTCTGTGACCCACCCTTTTCTTTGTATGTGAAATATGGTGATATATTAGGAATCTCTTTGTTGCAAGGTCCTTTTTCATATGCCAGCCACTAGTTGCAGGAACTTGCAAGTGTTTTGAGATAATTGTCTCTCCTGAGCCGGTTCGGGATTTGAAAAGTTAACACATTTTTATTTCATGAATAAAGTCTCTTTTTTCCACATTTTTTTAAATTAGACACAAATGCCAGACCCTAAGACCTTCAAGCAGCACTTTGAAAGCAAGCATCCTAAGACTCCACTTCCTCCAGAATTGGCTGATGTTCAGGCATAAAGTTGTTTACAGGTAATTGACCTTTTGTCTTTTCCTTTGTTAATGTCAAGGTTGTACACAAGAGCAAAATTATCTTCTGTGACTGTGAAATTAATGTGTACTTTCCAGCTGAGATTTTATTGCTTCCCCTTTTTAAGTTAATGTTTCCCTTTACAATTGTTAAGAGCCCATTTCCCCACACCAGATCATCTCAATGCCTTTGAAACACCCAAGTTTTTACTACTGTAGCCCAACATGGGGGGATGAGGTGATGCTGGCCAACTCTGGTCCAAGAATGGAAGAGACTTACCAGCTTAAAGAAAATAACTATTACAAAGGCATTTGAGGGTCTTGCTTCCAGAAGTGATGCAGAACAGTGTTCCTGAGTGCCTTGGTGCAGGTATTTTATTTCCAGTGTCTGACAGAGCTTCTGAGTGCATTAGGACACATGGTGAATGGAGGCACACACTGTGTAAACTTGAGAGTTGCTTGAAAATAATCTGTGTGGCTGGTTTTCTGTTTTTTGTTTTCTCTAAGGTGGTGATGGTGTGAGACAATTATTTCTTTTTAAAGTAAATTCATCAAAGATTTGTTTATAAAATCATTGACAGATCTGTCAGGCTAACTTGATAGCTTATGCACGTGGTGCATTTTTCTTAGACATTTGAAATGCATGTAAGTTGTATTTGTGCAATGCTTACATTCACTGCAAATTTCATTTATGTCTTATAGGTGAATTCATGACACCTTTGACTCTTCTACTGTCTCAGAACTTAGGTAACAAACCTGCAGCTGCTTTTCTAACAAACTGTTGATCAGCAAAAATAAAGGGGCTACAGAAACACTCATTTTTATGCTGTTCCCTTTTGGGCTTCATGCAAAGACAATTCTGTGTAAATGTACAGTTGACTCTGATTTGGAAATCTGAAAATCAGTCCATCCTTGTTATAAAAAATTTTTTTACAATTGTAATTATATTGATGTTCATATTGTGTAAAATAACTCATTTAATAAAGTAGTACTTTGATTTTACAACATCACAGGATAAATGGTTTTAGAAATTCTGTTCTAACTTTCCACATTATTTGCCTTATGAAAATCTAATGAATTCGTCAACTAGAATTGCAGGCGCAATTCTTACCTCCCTCTCAGTTCAGTGGCAGGTTCATTAGCTAAACTAGAACAGACTCATTCATAGTTTTATTGGCAGCTGTTGATCTAGATGAAGAATGACTTACCTGCTGCCTTAGTATATTACCATCATGTGTCATTTACCCCTCTGATTGTTTCCTGTGTTTGAGGTTGGAATATTTCAACTTGCCATATGACCTGGCCATAGCTGCCAGCCAGGAATACCCTGTCGATGACTGATAAATTCCTAATGCGTTGGATTTTCAGTGAGCCCTTCTGAAAGATTAGGTTCTGAAGTGTATGCCATAATGAAATCAGTAAGGCTGTCATTGAATACAAAATATGATGGATCATATGCAAACTGGTAAAGCTCTATCTTACATAAATTATACCAGATTCTTTCAAAATTCAAAGTTCAGTAATTGGAAGTTAAAACTCAATTTTTGAAGGACTTTTTGGAAGTTATTAATGTTTTGGCCAATTTTATGAATGGATTTTCATTAGCAGGAAGAGTGGAATGACTTGCCGCTGGGTTAATTCCCAGAACGTTCTCCCTCCTTTCCTTTGTAAGTGAATAGTTGATTTTAGGAGTTTACTTTGTGCTGGTTCCTAAAATCAAAGCCTGTACAATATGACTTCTGTCTGAACTAGAAAAGGATTAAAATAGGCCAATCTCCACATTCTTTTGGCTCTGAGGATGGGGAAATGGGTTAGTTCAGATGGATGAGGTAAATCCTACCCAGTTAAGGAAGACTAATTTTAGGGTTCTTCTAATTTGCTTTTGTCAGCTATTAACTTTACTAGTGAAACTGCTGTAACTCTGTTTAAATTTTAAAGTTAATAATAATAGGAAGAACACTCAACTATTTCCTGGTAATTGCTTAGAACCACAAGTCTGATCCTGTGGATTACAAAATGCATTCCCTCTTTCTGCTGTAATTCATCACTGCCTTTGTTTTGTGGCTATGCATATTCTGCCCACCTTGTTTGACTTCACTAAGTTTTAAGTAAGATATTTACAAGGAAAAGCTTCAGTGGCGATAGTTTCTTAGCAACTTCTATTACATTCTTTCTTTAAAATAGTTATTTTTTCATGTATTTAATTTCCTAAGTTTCAGATTTAATATCTGTTATTTCCTAATATGTTGGTACCAGAACATTAGAATTTGCCTGATTGCTTGTAGTGGAATTAAAGTTCTGGTTAAATTACAATTTAAAGGTTTTTAAAAGCGCTTTGACCATATGTATGTTTACATTTAGTAACAAATAATTTAAAAACCATTCACAAGTTTTGGGGTTTTTTTTTTTGTTTTTTTGTTTTTTTTCATTTTTACTGACTGTAATTCAGAATAAAAGCTTTTTGTTCTTGTATTTAACCCTTTTTTATAAGCAGCTGAAGACACCATATTTAACTTTATATCTCAGTGATAGGAAACTAGCTGCATTGATCTTGCATAAGACATTAATTCTCATACTTCATATAAGGATTATTAGTACAATCCCTTTTTATTATGTTTGAGTTAAATTTGCTCTAAGGGAAAAACTACAATTCTTAAGCATCCTCATTATTAAATTTGAAGATTCTTTAACAGATCACAGCAAAGTTCATTATAAAACTGTTATGGTGTCTTCAAAGACTTTATAAAATCTGAGACACTGAGAGAGAATTGGTCCGTTGTATTCTGTATTTCCATTAATTGCCAAAAGGAATGGGGTTAAGATTACGTTTGTTTCCATTCTAATTCCTATGGATCTGCATCCCCATGTTTAACTGACATACTGGGGGCTCAGTTGTGTGCTGTAATGTCTTATTAAAGAAGATATTAAAACTAAACTAGTCTAATTTCTTCTACATTTTAGGAGGTTTTTATATTGCCTCTTCCCTTTTTTTTTTTTTTTTTTTTAAATTTCTCAACTCAAGAGTTGTTTCTTGAGTGTAGAGCTCAGTCGTCTAAGGGCAGCAAGAGATTTTTCATTTCTCATTGTTTTTCCTGCAGTTGGTCTATTTTAAGTATATAGAATACTTAAGAGTGAAAGGGAAAAGGTTGTCATTCTGAAACCTTCCTGTAGTGTAGGTTGTTGGAAGGGGGAAGTAATTGGCTATTAATAGAAAAATAATACTAAAATGAAAAATGCTTAGGTCAGTAAACTGAATGAGATAACACTTTGGTTTTATATTAAGGCTACTGCAAAGCTAGTTAATCACATCATAATTCAGATCTGAGATATATGTAGCATGAGTACAGTAGAAAAGACTCTTCTTTTTCATTTTTATTAGTATGTGGAATATACAGCATCTGCTTAAAATTGTAGTTAATATCAAGGCCTTTTTCTACAGTGTTAGTCACACTCCAAACTGTAACTGAAATACTGTATTTAAACTACTGAATCTGAATTACTTTATTTGTGCTAGATTTTTCATTTTGGGGGAGTTTTTGGTTTGATTTTGGTCAGACACATACTTGTGTGTGTATAGAAATGAAGATCAACACTAGAGGGTTGTGTATACTGTGACTGTACAGTCTGAAATCTTTCAGGCTAGCCAAATTTTATCTGTTGTAAATGTTTCAGAAAAATCTTAAGCCCTTCCTATGTGTAGATTTAATAAAACATCTGTATACTTTATTGAGAAAATAGATGTTTTATTAATAAGAGTTCAACCTGTCATTGTGGATTACCATATTGAACTGAAAATTAAATGTCCTCTCTCATTTATGTATGTATTTGAGAGAGCGAGAGAGTGCCCATAAGGTGGGGGGTAGTGGGGGGGGCAGAGGGGGAGAGAGAATTTTAAGCAGGCTCCATGCCCAGCACAGAGCCTGAAGCTGGGCTTAATCTCACCACCCTCGAGATCATGACCTGAGCCAAAATCAAGAGGCAGATGCTTAACCAGTTGAGCCACCCAGGTGCCCAAAAATGTCTTCTATTTTAAATGTTCTTTGGGTAAGCTGTTTACTGAGTTACCAGCTTTTTGGAGTTTGTTTATAATTTTTTATTTTGGACAGTCATTCTCTAGCCCCAATTTTTTGTACATAGTATGGCTCCAAATTTAAAATCTGCACATACGGAGCCAGACTTCAGTCATTTATTTGTATCCATATGGGCATATCTACAATGTGAAGTGATTATGTTAAAATCATACTACTTTCTAATCATTTTTTATGTATACACCATTGTTTCTATACATGATCTCATTAATAGCTTAGATTTTTGTAGACCAAATAAGTACCTCACTTTATCACTGTCTTCTGTCTTGTAAAATTCTGAGTGTGACTTGCATTTTGGATTCTATATTATTAAAATTTTAATTAGTAGGAAGTAGGCCAACATAGTATTTCTTCTATAACAATGTAACAGTGTTTTTCAAAATTAGGTCTGTAGTTAAGGGTGACCATACATCCTGGTTTGCCAAAGACAGTCTTGGTTTAAATATTAATTTAGTATTAAATATCAGACTTACACTAGATATTAAGGTGTTTCATTATAAATCTTAATATTGCCTCCTTTTAATCACACATGTCAACCAGTTCATAGGTCACTTTTGTCAAACAACCAGGGTGCTTTTTCAAAATGTACATTTTTTTTAAAACCCTGTGGTACCCAGAAATTCTTCCTCCTAAATGGGAACGTGTGATACTGGCAAGGTTTGCCCTTTAAAGGCCTTCCATCTATTTTTATTCAAGGTTTTTTGTTTTTTTTTTTCCTACTGAGACTTAAATATCTGGTCAGATGAACTAGATTCCAAAACCTTGAAACACCTTTATTCACAGGCATTCATATAAATTTAATACTGTTTGTACTGGGTTCAGACTTTTATTTCCTGATCATCTTTTCACCCAAAGGACTTATGGGAAATGGCCAGTTGGGATTAGAGGTACTGCTGCTTAGTACAGAACACTTCTACTGAGGAAGGGAGGGAGATCTGCTCCCCTGGCTGCAGGTTAGACATCCTGTGGGCTAATGGCAGTGAACACTTATGACAAATCTTGTGATTTTGATACAGGATGCTTTACATATTATTTGATCTGGATCTCTGTAATTTTCTTTTTTATAAACTCTTAGTTTTTTGGGGTTTTTTTTTAAAGATTTTATTTATTTTGAGAGAGAGCACGAGCAGGGCGGAGGGGCAAAGGGAGAAGAAGTAGACTCCCCACTTGCAGGGAGCCCCACATGGGGTCCAATCCCAGGAATCTGGGATCATGACCTGAGTTGAAGGCAGACGCTTAGCCTACTGAGCCACCCATGTGCCCCTAAACTCTTTAATTTTTTCGTACTTCTGGATTTACAGAGAAGTTGTAAAGGTGTAGTATAAGATTGAGCCTACCCTACTGTTATAACCTTATATTACTGTGGTGTATTTATCACAACTAAGAAACCAGCAGTGGTATATTACCATTTATATTAGCATTACCAGTTTGTCTATTAATGTCTTTTTTTTTTTTCTGTTCCAAGATCTAGTCCAGAATGCCACATTGCATTTAGTTGTCATTTCTCCTTGGTCTTTTTGTCATCTTTGGTGGATTCTCAGTCTTCTCCTTGTTTTTCATGACCGTGACAGTTCTGAGGTGTGTGGAGGTATGTTGTATAATGTCCCTTAGCTTGGATTTGAGTTTTTTCTCATGACTGCATTAGGGTGCCAGGTTTTAGTGAAGAAGAGCACAGGTGATGTGCCCTTCTCATTGCATCCTGGGAGTAAATGATCCCCACATGACATCATGGGTGATGGTAGCCTTCATCACTTGGTTAAGGTGCCATCTGCTATGTTTCTCCACTGGAAAGTTACAATTTTTTCCTTTCCAAATGCTGATTTTGCAAAGTCCAGCCCTTATCTTAAGGTGAGTGGGGATTTAGCTCCACCTCCTGGAAGGGAGAGTACCTGTGTGTATTATTTGGAATTCTTCTATATGGAAGATTTGTTCTCCCTGTTGTTTATCCATATGAACTCTTAATTCAGTATTATTTATTTTGTTATTCACATTACTTCAACTTTGGCCATTGGGAGCTCTTTCAGATTAGCACCTGTATCCCTTTGCTATGCCCCCTTTTTTTGAGCTTTTCCTTACTTGTACTGCAAGAAGTTCCATGCTCATCTTGTGTTTTCTCTGTCCCAGTCCTCAAATGAGCAATCTCTCCAGAGTCCTGGTTTCTTTTATTGGAGAATGGTATTTAAAAACCAAGATCTGGCCATCACATATGAGGTTTGCTTCTTTTTTTATTTCTATTTTTTTGTAAGAAATGTTAATCTTTTTTTCCACCACTAGCTATTATTTTTTTTAAAAGATTTTATTTATTTATTTGACAGATAGCAAGAGCAGGAACACAAGCAGGGGGAGTGGGAGAGGGAGAAGCAGGCTTCCCGCTGAGCAGGGATACCGACATGGGACTCCATCCCAGGACCCTGGGATCATGACCTAAGCCAAAGGCAGACGCTTAACGACTGAGCCACCCGGACACCCTACCACTAGCTATTATTATCTAAGGGTTATAGGGAAGAGTATCCTTATCCCAAGTCTTTAGGGGATGAGCTCCCTGCACATCATTAGTGAAGCATTGTCTTTTTTTTTTTTTTTTTTGGTCATTTAAATAATTTTTTTAATTTTGTTTTCTGAAGCATTCTCTTTTAAGTTACCAGGATATTGAAAATAATACATGTGAAGTTGCTTTATGAGCTGTAAAGCATTATATAGAAGTAATTCATTATTACGAAAGAAATATAGTAAAGGTCCCTTATCTTTAGAAATTAAAATGCATTTTAGGAAATAACATACTTATTTACAGAAGTTTAGGCTATATGTTTAAGTGTTTGGTGTGTTTTTTTTTTTTTATTCTTATGTTAATCCCCATACATTACATCATTAGTTTTAGATGTAGTGTTCCATGATTCATTGTTTGTGCATAACACCCAGTGCT